TTGCTTGGAGTTTGCACATAATCCCTATGGGACTTTTGTTGTGCCATTTCATAACATTTTTTTAAACACATAGCCCCTATGGAACTTTTGTTGTGTTTTCAACACCCTTTGTGTGATAAGGAGTCAATTTAGAGCTTTGCTCTTTTGTATTGACTTTGTGTCCTTRTGTAAACTCCTCCCCCAAACTTGAATATGACAATGTCCTCATTGGCGTTATGTGGGGTAAATGGTGTTYAAAGGGTGCAAGTGGCTAATATGAACATAGAAAAGATGGCCTATTTCATTTCCTAATGGTGATTGTGTGATCAAAGTGTTTTCCCAAAAARRGTTTTGCTAGTTCTAGCAAAAAACAAAGTACCATGATTAAATGACAAACAATCACTAAAATTATTCGGGCTATGATCTCATGTGTTAACAGCCCTCAACTGAAATGATCATGCGTAAAAAAAAAAGATTATAAAGTATAAAAAACTATTCCCGACTCAAAAAGTAAATTATGAAGCTAAAGAAAGTGGTTAGAACCTGCCCTACTCCAAAGGAGTAGGTTGTGCAGCCTGAGCTGCCATCTCCTTCTTCAACTTCTCATTCTCTTCAAACAAACTCTTGTTATCCACCATGATGGCCTTCAGAATGTTTTCACGAAAGTTGATATTCTCACATGTTATGAGACTAAACAAAAGCACCAACCTTTCTACAAAAATGGAGCTGTTATGATTAGTCGATGATAAATAATGTCTAATAAAGCTTATCCAAACATTCTTATCARAGGACAAATTGGCAGCCTTAAAGGTTTTCAACATGAAATGAGTGCAAGGCTTCCAATCAGTCTCAGACATTCCAAGGAAAGTCATGATCTCAATCAAATATGCCTTAGAGGCCGTGTGCAAGAGTGCATCATTCTCAGAATCTATGTGAGGTGATGGTTGTTTCAAGTCTAAGTCAAGTGGTGATATAATGGATGGGGTGAAGCTCTTTTGCTCACTATTTTCTAGCAGCTCAAATGCTGCAGCATCCACTGGGACAATATCATTTCCTATTTCCTCTATTTCTTCAACATCTTCTTCTATTTCCTCATCACATTCCTCTTCCAACTTAAGGTTTTTCTGAATTCCTTCTTTAAAGCACATCTCCTCTATCTCAGATATTTTTGAACACTCCTCCAAGTAATCAGGGTACTTTAGAGAGTTGAAAACATTAAATGTGACTTTTTGGTCTTGGAGTCTCATGGTCAACTCTCCTTTTTGGACATCTATCA